TGTGCAGGTGACGAATCCCCCGCTTTAAACTTCCATGAAAAGTACAGCAAAACTTTTCGTATCTCATTGGTTTGGGGTCAGATTTATGCGGTAATGCCTTGAAGATGGTAAAAATTGTATTTGTCATTTTTCAGATGTATATTTAAAAACATATATATTGTTGAACCAGGTGAAAATTTCAAACATTGCATCCCTATTATCTGTTAACACTTAATAAGCAAATTGCTCGCAAAAAACATGGCCAATTACTATCATTAATTTGTATTACTTAAATATTGTGTAAATCATACATACATATATTTCTTGTCACAACGCCTATCTCACTGAACATTTTGTTTTGGATGGAATCTAATTAAAATAGCACTCTGTAGTGGCCAGCATAGTAAAGTTCCCCAAGAAATCAGCAACTAGAATTAGTTATTTCTTTCCCCATGTTGAGTAAGCAAGTCGGAAAAACTGACGCACAATTCTAGTGTTATACCATCTGCCTTGTAAGCTTGGCTGGTTTCAACAAATAATATTGTCGTGTGCTCCAGTATGCAATCTATTATTGCAATAACACTTCTTGAACAACGTGGGTACTATAGCCAGGCGATCAAGAGGGCAATCCACTTTGCCAAGATTGTAATCATCCTTTATCAAGGAGTCCTAGTTTCAACTGTCCTTATTCTAAAGATGTCGTGGAAGCTGCGGCCAATTACCATCTGTGAATCTGTTCAGTTAGTCTCATTCCAGGTACGAATTTTTGGCAGCACTGGATCCGAAAAATGCTTACTTAATGACCAATGCACCGATACGAGGTGGAGGAAAAGGATGTACCAATTCAAGGTGTTTTTGTTTGGCCTTCGTTCAGCAGCACTGATGTTCACGAATGTGGGTGGTGATAGTTCAATTACATGCCAGGGGCACCTTCAAGTCTTTTTCTCAATCATCTATTTAAGAGACTCAATCTGAACATCTTCAGTTTATACTGCATTACATGTGGTCACTGGAGTTTATAATCAATGAGGAAAAAGTCAGGTTTACCTTAGGATGGACACACAAGATGCTTTCTTCTGTCCCTTCAACAAACGCAATGTCAAGATCAGGAGATGTTCAACTACTTGATAAGGGCTATGGGAATGTTCTCATCTGTGAGGGGCCAGGTGCCACACACAACACTCTACATCAGGCCAATTCAGTTGGACATAGAAATGGTCCCAGGGAGATCTGTTCCTGCAAGGCAACTATCTGGACCAACCTGTTGCACTTCCCAACAAGTGTTGTCAAGCTTTGCAAGTTGTGGACCATGTGATCCCTGATCACTTGCCCTTTATTTCACACTGTCTGACTGTCTCGGTTCTGATGGACACTTGTAAGTTGGAGGGATCACATGATGGATCTGCAAACTCAGGGACTATTGAACAACAGTCGGGTGTCCAGACACATCAATTGGACTGCAAACCATTCTGTCATTTATTCAGCATGCAGATCCACAGTCGTCGTATTCAACACCATTGCAAAAACCCTCTCAGACTTTGAAAAGGTTTGATGACACCAAGTAGCAGACTGCATCACTGATCAATAAGGCTTTCTTCAGCTGGAGCCAAGCACCAATTTGTTTTTCTACCCCCCCCCCCCATGACCTGTAACCTGGGGTGAATATGTGATGCCAGAATTGTTTCATCTTCTTGCATAAAAGCTATCTACATGCTCGGATCAACAACCACTATGCTAAAAATGGTTGCTTCATTATATTTTTATCGAACTGCCAACCCAACCCAAATTTTTACAATACAATAAAATCTACTGAGATATTTCTATTTATAACATGTTAATTTATTCATTCCATTTCATATTAAAATAAACAAGCAAACTAGGAATAAACAAATGTATATGAGCTTGGAATAAAACAACCCATTTGATTGGCTGATAGTAATTTACATCAATGGTTATCAACCAATCAGTAATTAGATTACATACAACACAAAAATAATTGCAGAAGAATGGAAAAAAAAATATAAACATAAAAAAAAATTGCAAGGTTATCTGAAACTAATGTAATCTAAGAATAGTACTGCATCAATAAGCAAAGGTCATTGAACTCTGTATTTTCATAACCAAATTTTTAGGTCCATGAATACTGGTGAAAATAGCCTTTACTGAAATTCTTATTATTAATTTACTGATGTACATTTTTACATTAAAATATGACAGCAATTCATACTCAGTTGTTTTAGAGACGTACATTTGCTTAGTTCAGACAGATTCTCAGTCCACACAGGATGAGATGCACCTTTACTCAGTTTCTGATTAAAGCTGACTTTTTTTTCACTTTTAGAAGAGTATGGTACATTCCATTGTTAGTTTGCTGTGAAAATATTGCAAATACCTGTTTATTTCTGGGCACAAGAAAATTGATTTGAAATAGCTTCAAAACCCTTGTTTTGACATTTTCAAATACCCCATCTCCTTATGTTTGAGTGTTCGGATTAATTTATTTTTCCTTATTTTTAACTAAAAATGCTGTTTTTTAGGCAAAAATCAATCCTATTTCATGAATCGCATTTTTGATAAGCTGTGATGTCTATCTTTCTGAATATATATAAAACATGACACGTCTCAAATGCAATCTTTTAAAAGTTTTGGTTAAAAAGGTGCATCTCATCCTCAAATCAGATGAAAGTATTCCGAATTCTATGTGTCATTTACCTACCAGAAAATACCACTGCAATTTAGACGTGTATTGTTAATAGATTTGGGGTACCCTGCCTGCTTGGCTACAAAGAATTAATTAATGCTTTTACAGGCGTAATAGTGAAATTGAAACCTTTTTCCATTTTTTTTAACCAAAATTGCCATCAGTTGGAACAAATGTATAAAAACCAAACCATTGTCTTTTTTGTCGGACAGATAGATGCAAGGGCAGACAAAACCCAAATTATAAATTACCATCATCTAAATGGAGACTAAAACAAGCATAAAACACAGTAGCATCTCAAATTAAACAAACCTATGGAGGATCAGCTGTTATATTGAAAGCTGAAACAGACACTCATGCATATATGCAGACATCAAATAACACATAAATATAAATCCCTCTTTCTCATTCTATGATCCAATTAGCATTTAAATCAACAATTTCTCATTTATCTCTATTGGGGTATTAGGTGTGAATGAACTACATGTAATTTCAAAGGTTTTTAAATCTTCTACAGATTTTTGTTTTGATATTCATTTATAGAGATAGTCATCACTATAAAAGTTGTACTTTGTAAGTACTAAAAAAAAACGATTCTTCAATCAAAATCTCAGACCAAACACAAAAATTACAAAATAATAATAATGTTTTGTTTTTTTCATTAATATTTGTTGTTGATTGTACTAAACCAGAAATGTCACTGGCAATATGAAAATCCCCTGAAACTCTTTAGACAAGAACATAAAGCAGTAATTTTAATTGTTCCCTATAGTATATGCTAAAAATAATTATGTATACTACTACATTGCACATATTAAGGATACCATATTTCTTCTATTAGAAGCGCATCTCCAATAGAAGTACATATAAACCAAAAATTGCATTGATTGTATACTAAATCATTAAAATATTACTTAGTTTGATCATGGGGAAATCTCTGTAACTTTTGTGAGTGCATGCGCTACTAATAGAGCAAATATGGTAGATGCTACTAACGTAGGAATTTCAGGAAATTCTGTCATGTTATTTGGAAAACATGTGGCATATTATAACAAAACTACTGTAAAATCTGCATTAAAGGTCATGCTTCTAGTGGGGATGGGGCTTCTATTAGAGCATCTACACATACATGAGAAGCAGTGAAAAAAAATTGGGTGCAGCTTCTATTGGGGATGCAACTTCTAAAACAGATTTTATGATAGTTTTTGAATTATGAACCTCAGTTTTATGTACTTTGATCAATTTTCAATTCAAAATGAACACAAGTTTTTAACACCATGGGGAAATCACACTAATTATGTTTCCATGGAAACAATTTTATTTGCTTTTTTTCATTTATTTAATGGAACCATTCGCTCCACAGAATATTAAAAAATTGTAGTGCTATTCAATTTTCTGCATTTTTTGCTTGTTAGCTATGTCCACCCTTAAGCTGAAAATACTAGTGATGTCATAACCAGACATGTTAAGCTTTGATTTCGTGACTGTTTGACAGTTGGTGACCAATCAGCAAGTATCATCATAATCATCATCATCATCATCTTTAACATAATTCCACTCATTCGCAGGTACAATCTTGCTAGCAATCATGTGGTCACCATGTCCAGTGCCACTTGTACATTTCAGTCAGCTGTGACTACACACTGCATCAATGATAATTACACCTAGAGTGGCTGTATGCCTGCAAATTTCCTAAATTGTTCAAATAGGAAGAAACTTATTACAGTATGTGGTCCGAATCTCATCCAGTTTGGTATAAATCCTTTGTATAGTCCTATTAGACCTTCCGATTTTAAGGTTTTAATGAAGCAATCCAAGGAATTTTTGTAGAGATATTCTCCCTTGATAAGGCCTGTAATAATAATAATAATAATAATAATAATAAAAATAACGTTATTACCTCCGTGTAAAAAGATTTACATAGGATAAATATAGCAAAAAAGATAATAACAAGATATATGTAAAATTATAAACAAGCAGCCTATCGGCTGAGATAGCTCCGCTGTTAGCAATGCACATTTCAATTAAAGAACTGAAGACATCATTAGAAAATGAACAATATGAATAGTATCAAAGCAATCGGACTTACAGTTTTTAACAAGAAGTCGAAAATATCACTTTTTACCAAAAATTACAAAAATATTCACCAAAATAAATTAATTAGAGAATTGAAGATATCATCACAAAACGAACAAATCTGAGAGAGGTCCACATGTAGTACCTATATATGTAATATCAAAGCAATTGCACTTGCGGTTTTTAACAAGAAGTCGAAAATATCAGTTTTTACCAAAAATGACAAAAATATTCACCAAAATTAGAGAATTGAAGATATCATCACGAAATGAACAAATCTGAGAGAGGTCCACATGTAGTACCTATATATGTAGTATCAAAGCAATTGCACTTGCGGTTTTTAACAAGAAGTCGAAAATATCAGTTTTTACCAAAAATGACAAAAATATTCACCAAAATTAGAGAATTAAAGATATCAACATGAAATGAACAAACCTAAGAGAGGTCTACCCAAGGTACATATACACCAAGTATCAAAGCATTTAGGCTTGTAGTTTTCAAGAAGAAATCGAAAAAGTAAAACATTGACACGGACGACGACGGATGACGGACGACGACGGACAATCACTCATATGATAAGCTCCGCTCGACAAAGTCGACAGCGGAGCTAAAAAAAGAGCGTAACTAGTATTTAAATGTTAAATAAATCTTTGTGTTGTGTAAATATAATTAACAAATTCTATAATTATGCCAGGATCTTTGCTTGAGAGTATAACACCCCCCCCCCCCCCCGGTATATGTGAACTGTATATAATTATTAATGTCAACCACATATTTTGTTTTCCCTATGTAAAATAAGCGCAAGCTACTGTTAACGTTCTTAATTCTCCAAGAGATCAATTTTGTGAATTTTACAAGTCAGTGAAAATCACAACATTTTTTAACAGTGATCATTTCTCTAGCGCCCTTTGACATAAAGTATCAATAAGTTTCATCAAGAAATTTTGTTTTTAGAAATTGTATAATATTCCTGAAATCGCAGTAAGAATTAAACAGTTTACAGTGTACCTCAAGCAAATGTGTTTGATTACCAGTATTATGTACACAAAATGTCAAGTTACTATAAAGCTACAAACTTACCTTTAATTCTTTGATTCATAATCCTCGTTTTGACCACATCCACAGGAGACGTAGTCACTGCCGTCATAAAACTAGCAAATACTGAACATAAAACGTGTAATACCGGACCTTCTTTCATCAATCCAGTGTTCAATAAAAGATGTTTGGAATGATCATAGGATGGAACCTGAAATAATGTCACTATATTAATTCCACTATTTTGAGATCGTGTGCAATGAAATGAATTTGTCATCATTTTCATTTTAAAAGCTGAAAAGCCATAATTGCAAACAATATCATGTTTGCTCCTTCAGAAGCACATATTTAACTAACAAAGACGCAAAAAAGCCAACAATTTGATGTTTTGGTGGAATTTTAAGGACTTCTAAATTTCTAAGCACTGTGATCTTTTAATACTAACTTTTCACAAGGCTTATTTGTAAGAATATGTGTTTCTACAGCAAATATCGTAATTCTCAACAGAGTCTATACCATCAGCTTCTCATCACAGTTAGCTAAAACATAATTTAACATACCAGTGCAGGGACATATACAAGTAGATTAGTATTCTGATATTTTTTTATAGCTATAGTTTTTTTTTTTTATATATCATTTCTTTTCAATATTTTATGTTTTAATTGAATACAGACAAAACAGTCACACTTTATTTAACTAAACATCAGTATACCTGTATTTATTGGGTTTTATTTTGTAAAGATTTTAAAATATTCTGATAATGAATCTTATTTCTGCTTCAAACTACTAACTATTAAAATTTATATATATATATACCTCCAGTAAACATATATGTGAACTCGAAGTACCAACATAGATACAACTAAACTACTCGAGAATAAACCATGGCTTGTTAGTGTAGGCAATTGAATTTTTTTGGAATGAGTTTGAAAACATAATTTATTTGGGTATATTTTGGTGAACTGACAACTTGACAAAGAGTGGAATTACTGACTTATACCATGCCAAACCAGAGACAAATGCACAATATTTGCATGTACATTTTTATAAGAAATGCAGTATGTGAATATGAATAGCAGTATTTACACTTGGCATATAAATACAACCGTAGTACCGGTAGTTTGCAATATACAAATGTACATAAGAGTGCAGATTTATGAGAATAAACATAAGAAAGTGGACCTGAGTTATTAAGCTAGGTTATCGCTGATTTATCTAAAATGTTTGAAATCTGAATTGAGTTTTCAATCCGTTATGATGCAAACGAAGAGCCAATATCTCACCTGAGTAGCTGTTAAAATAGCAGCCCTATTAATAGTTGGACCAGCACCACGATAAAGTCCTCTCAGTCCTTCATGTCTGGCAATATCAGCAAATGCACTATAAGTATTATTATATCGCTTTGTTTGTCCAGAAACAAGTTTTCCTTCTGCCTGCATTCGTACTTTAATCAAATCAGTAGGAGTCGCAATAGAACTTCCTATAGCACCTAAGGAACAGAGAAAATTAAAATTGAAATAACAACAAATAATTTTTCTATTATAATCATTTAAAAAACATCAAGTATGGAACTATACAATTTTAATCATAATAACAGTATCCTTAGACACAGTAAATCAGAGAAGAGTATGAAAGAGTGTCTGGGATTGTTTTGTTCTCCTGTAACAATGTGTCAAACAGTGTGTTATATAGCTACTTAATCAAACGTATCCATGTATTTAACACTTCTGGCTTCTTTATTTGAGAACAAACACTATAGCATTTAACGAGTCAATGTTGATAACGTAGTCCCATCCAGTTTTTAGTGACTGTCAATTATAAACAATGAAAGATATAGATATAAAAAAGATATACCGGGGTAGTACACTGTATTACTTTTAATTGCATCCAAGTTTTGATCAGTCAAAGTGACACTTCCTTGGAATAAGATCATCGTACAAAATTGTATAATTCGAACAAAAAACCTGTTGGACATTTTGAATCAAATCACAAAACATAACATTATGTATGTTGTTCATACCAAGTTTGAATAAAATCAGCCCAGGCATGCTTGAGAAATGTGAGAAAATAAAGGTCACCAGTCTGTCAAAGATCATCAAAACAAAAAACAATCAAAGTGCAGATGTGTACTATGTTTGTACCTACTTTCAACAAAATTGGTCACTGCATGTTTGAGAAATCGATAAAGACACATGAAAATACGGTAATACCAACATGGCCACCAGACGGTCATTTTGAATCAAATCACAAACAAACTGACATGCATCAGTAACTCATCGATCATGTGTGATGTTCATACCAAGTTTGAATGAAAACAAGACAGACATGCATGGACACAGTTGATGAGAATGGCATATTAGTTGTAGACAATACCAATGCTATTCATTGGCAAATGACTGTATTCGGCAGTATATATGTAATACATGTAATTCTAATTACCTGATGTTGCACCTGCTAGAATTTTCTTGTACAGCGCTGTATGCGCTGGATCTGTTGCCCCCAACCACACCTTTATTGGTTCATAGGCACCTATTCGTATAGTACTGTATGTTGCCTCTCGTAGTAGTGATGGCACAACTCTGCAAATAAACAAGGTAGACCAGATTGGAATATTACAAGATTTGCCATGAGCAACTATCATGCAAGCAAGGGGAAAGTGGAGCGAGAATGCATAAGGCAGGGATAACAGTATTTCTATTTCTACATCAATTGTATAGATCTTAAACTTGATTTGATCACTAGCTGTACCTACCGGTAGTTTCTTTTTTAACCATACTTTTTCAGTCACCATGCATACAATACGGGTAATGTGGCAATGATATCTGGCATAATGCTCAGTGCTACAACTATGGTACCCCCCTCCACTTTAAATGTGTATACTTTAAACATCTTAGCAAAGAAAAGCGATCCAAAGTTATCTGCTTTTTATACATGCAGGCTTACACACACAGTACAGACTCCTGGCCCACAGATCTATCGATAGTTTTAAACATACAACACAAATTAAAGTGCAGTAGTCGTTGTTGCGCAGATCAACGAGTACGAACTGAGACGTTTCCAAGCTTTAATTAGGCAATTTTCATGTGATTGGAAAGTATCGAAGGAGTCACCGTCGATAATCAGTGCAAGTTGCGCCCAGGTCAAACCTCATACTTGTGATTTCCATTTGAAGAACGCATTGGATTGTGGGAAAATCAATGTTTATCAACACAAATGTCGCACATGCACAGCGCGCGCACTACTGCGCTTTAAGCTTAAAGTTGAAAGACAATTTTTCATTTCATGCTACGCAGCAGTCTGTCATATTTCTTATCACATCATAAGGCAATAAATACTGATATTAAATAAAGATACATTTAATAATGCATACCCTTTATAAAGACCTCTAATGCCTTCATCTTGGACGATTCTTATACCTCCTTTAATGAAGCCATCATAATATCTATTTTTTAATACAGCCACACCTTTTCCTTTCTGTGCCGCTAACTCTCCTTCCAACTGCATACGAATTTTAATCACATCAATAGGATTGGTTGCTGTAAAGAATAATTCAAGACCATATAATATCATATATAGATTTTTCTTTCCTGTGTATGGCTGTGAAGTTGAAAAAGCATTCTCATTCCACATACATGAACCATACTACGAAGTGCACCAATATGGATCAGCAGTGTTAGCTACTGTTAATGTTAGCCTACATGTTGATGGACGATTGAAGAAATGCTTTCATAATTAAGGTAGAAGCTTACCCATAAATTAAAATACCCAGAATTTATTCATTTTGCAAGAAACTGTACTCCAAGGCAGTTAGGGGTCATCAGCCTTATTTTCGAGAAATTGATGGTTGTATTTTAGTCGCCATGTTGGCACTATCATAACACTTTTACTATAGGTTCCTTTGGCATTTCTTATTTTTTTCTATATTTTTTTTTTTATTATTGTTTTTGTTTTTTTATTATGTACATATATAACAATATTTGCTCTACAGTTAAGCATGTGTAATTGACAGCGATTTGACGATGGTCAAAATCATATTTTAATGATACAGCATACAGTAAATGCAGTCATTTTTTTGTGTGTATGTGCAGGTATAAGTGAGATATGCTTCTAAGAATTAAAATACAGTATTTAGTATTATTTCAACAATTAATTATTTTAACTATGCCAAATAGGTGAACTTTCGCAAAATAACCAAAATCAACCAGTAAATAAAAAAAAAAATATGTGAAAAAAATATATAACGATGTATATAAAAGCCTAAACTAGCATCTTATTTTAATCAGATTGGACTTAAGCCAACTTGGGTTCAACTATTCAGACACATATTTTGTCACATGTGAAGTGACAAGTATCGTGATCTAGCTGCAGTATAAACAGCAAATAATATCCCTACTTAAGTGATTACAAGTAAAATAAATTTCAAACAAATGATTTTT